TATTAGAAGGGGGTATTAGTCTTATATAGTGTTCTTATTTAAGGTTTAGTAGTCCTAATATACTCTTACTTTGCTGTTTTTCTTTTTTGCAAAGACTACTGCTAATGCTACTAGGCTGTTACTTTCCCTAATATGTCTGCGTGATAGCATCCTGTCTACGTATTCTTGTAGTGCGTCTTTCTGGGCTTTAGTTAGGGGTTAGAGTTTGTGAGCTTTTAGTTAAGGTTCTGGTTTAAGATTAATGGCGTGATCCTATAGCTAGTGCGGCAGTAGTTCTCCTAGGTCTTCTAGGGTTTTAAACATGTCTTTGTACTCCTTGTATTCCTCTAGTAAGTTTCCTGTTTTATAGGTAATCCTATAGATTTTTATCTAGTTAAGATCCTTTTCTTTTTAGAGTTCTTTAAAGGACATTTTCTTAAGTTCTTTTTTTATTAGGTAGACTGCCTAGGCTTTTAGCTCTTAGTAAAAGAATTTTCTTAGTTTTTCTTTTTTAAGGAAATATCTGCTCCCTTCTTTAGCTTGTTAGTAGGAGATGTAGGAATTGTTATAGTAAGCTAACTATGTTATGCAGTTATGATCTTGTTTTGTTACTAGGGTTATGGTTTGCTAGTTAATTATTAGGTTGTGCTTATAAAGCTAGTTATATCTAAGTATTACTTAGTATTTTCCTCCTAGTGGCAGGATGTTAAAGAATATCTAGTTGCTAGTTCCTTTAGTGTCTGTGATAAGTTTATAAGTTTTAAGTTGTATCTATCTTACTCTATATTCTATTAATAAGGCGTCTGCTAGAGTTACTTTAAAAGGTCTTTTTTTACTTCTAAAGGGTATCTGCTTCTAATTAACCTATGTAGAGTTAATTACTGTAAAGGTGCAGCTGCTGTCTATTAGCGTAAGGCCTGTCTATTCTTATTCTAGGCAGGTAAGAGTTATTTCTGTAGTTAGGCTTCTGCCTAGTCCTTGTCCTACAGCAACAAGGGTACAGAGTTTGTAGGAAACTTTTAAGTAATCTATTTTATTATCTTTTTCTACTGTAAGAGCTTTTTCCTAATAGCTTTTAATTTAATTAGAGCGTATTTTATATTTCTAATGCCCTTATATTATACACTCTGCTACAGTGCAGTGTTAGTCTTTTATTTTGTGGTAATACAGCATTTAGTTGTTTTGTTAATAAGCTCTTTATTAGAAGTAATAGAATGCGCAGTCTATTTAGTTTTTGCATTTTGTCTAGAGTTTTTGCTTGTGCTTAGTTCTAGTGTTATAATAAGCGCATTAAGGCATTTTGCAAGTTAATGCTATTCTAGGGAGCGTGTTGTTTGCGAGTTCGCTTGCCTAGGTTCTGTATGGCCACTAGCTAGCTCTATGTTTAGTTAGCTAGTGCTTTAGGCAATACTTGTTAACACATAGATACTAGTTGTACAGGCAATTCTTAAGGTTATTTTAAACTAGTATTAGTTAAACTTAGGTCTATCTTAGGTATTCCTTTGTTTGTACTATTTGTAATAAGTAGCTTTAGTATACGCATTAGAACTTGTTGTGTCTTTAGCTTCTGCATAGGATGCAATATCTATATTATTGTTAAGTCTCTAGGTCTTTTTACGTAATTGCTAGTGCTAGGGGAGGTGTATTAGCTCTTTAATTACAGAGTTTAGGAGTTATTAGAGGGGTGCATTGCTAATTAGGTTCTTCTCTTTTATTTAGGATTTTCTAAAACATTTTCTATTATTCTTTGTTGTTTAATACTACATAGTAAGTCCTAGCAATTTCCTTTATTATGCTGTAGGTGTCTGCATTGTTGTTAATATGCACTTTATACATTGTTTTTCTGCAATCTTGTAGGTTATAGGTGTCGCCGCATTTCCAGCAGTCGCTGTGGCTGAATTGATATTGTAGTTCCTAGGCGGAGATTCCAGTTATTAGTTGTCCTAGGGGAAATAATTCCTCCCCTTCTTTTATGTTTGCAACGTACGTTGTTGCTTGCGTGTAGCCTTGCTATCCTTTATAGATAGCTGCTTGTTCTAGTGCTTTAAATATGTTATTTTTGTTCTAAACTTTAACTTTCTAGTATTCTATTAGGCATCTATTAGATTTATAATTGCCTCTGCATTGCTAGTAGAGGTTCTTGTCTAGCCTGTCTAGGATTTTAGATCCTGTTAGGCCCTACTCTATATGTATTACTTTTATAGTTAGTCTTTTATCTTTATTCTCTTAGTTAATAGAGTCTAGGCATTCTCTTCTATAATGTCCTACTTTTTTATAGTTAAGGCACGCTTTTTTCTTAAGCTATTTCTGTTGTTTAGTACTTAGTAGCAGCCTATTGCTATTTCTAAACTTGCTTTTTTTCTTAGTTAAGCCCTGTGTATATTTAGCATAGCTAAGATCTATTAGTTTGCTGTTAAATTATTAGGTCTCCTTCTTCCTCTGGAATATTTCTAGTTTCTAAGGTGTTATGCTAGGGCGCTTCTTGTGAAGACGTTCCTAATGCTAATTATTATATGTAGTTGCTCTTTTTATGTATTCTTTAAATTTCTTTAGTTTGCTGTAGTGCATAAATTTGTCTTTTATCACGTTAGATAGTCTATTATAGAACATCCTTCTAACAGCTGCTTTGTTAGTCCATCTGCTAATGGCTAGTTGTTTGCGGAAGCGTGCCGCATATAATTAGACAGTGCTTTTTCCTTGTTATAGGGTGTCTATTTTGTTAACTGCCTTTTCCTTTTAGTTAGCTTAGCTGTAAATTATTATAAGGGCTTGTTTAAAGGCATTTAAGTTTTAAAAGATTTCTTAAGTGTAAATAGAGGGAACTTCTTTAGTTACTTTATGCTTTATCTAGTTGTCTGCGTGTAGTTAGAACTAGATAGCTGGGGGTCCTTCTAAATAGAGTCTTATTTATAAGATTATTTCCTTGTCTGTCTAGAAAGCACCCTTGTTATACTGCATGTATAAGTAACATTAAGTAAAGAACAGTTTAAGGTCTTTAGCTGTGCTATTAAATAGTTTAGGTAGGGCTAGGCGTAGCGACTTTTTTAACTTAATGCTAGTCTTTTTCTTAGCAGTGTTGCAGAGTTTAGCAACTTCTAGATAAAGGGCGTAAAGTTGTTAGACTTGTAGTTGTTGTTGCTAAAGCTAGGCTCTAAGTACTTCTATTTCTTAATAGAGATACTGTATTTGTTAACTATGTTCCTCCTTATTCCTAGACAGGGTTTCTCTAGTGCTGGCCGCACTAGCTCCTGTCATGCTAATATTAAGGGAGGTGTAAGGTGCTATACTTTTTAGAGGGGTAGTAATTAATGTTATAATTCTTACTCTAGGAAATAGTGTATTCTGGAGTACAACAGCCTATGTGAGTATTAGTGGGAGGAGAGGAGAACTTAGCTGGATCAGGTGTACAGTCTGTTGAGCAGAGTGAAGGGTAGTCGGGGTTTAGAAGGCAGGCTGTAGTTTGTCCCTATAGCTGTATAGGTAGCTAGGCGTTTACTAGTCAGGTAGACAAGGGTTAGAGGTATATATGTTGCAAGATATACAAGGCAGCTTAATCCTCTTTAGAAAGGATCTTAAGCCTCTTAGTCTATTGTAAAGAATAAACTAAACGTTGATCACAGCCTTCTAACTATAGTCAGGATCAAGACTATATACATGGTGGTTTCGTGCTTGCATGCGTTTGCATGTATTGCATGCGTTGCATGCGGTGTCCGCTTCTACCTGCAACGCCTGCAGTGCCTGCAATGTACCCAGTCCCTATTGGACGACGCATTCTGCCAAGCACTTATTCATAAGGTGGAGCCATTCCTCTTCCGTTCGGTCATAAGGTCCGCCGATAGCGGGGTTAACCGTTTTCCATCCGTCGTGATTGGGGCTGTGCGCTATAGCGAGCTGAGTCATTACGGTCTGTTCGTTGGCCGTAACAACCTACTGTCAAGACAGGAGGAACGCTTGACGAAAGCTGCTACATAGTACGAGCAATAAGCT